CCCCAATCCCTCACCTCACCCCACCTGGGTACGGCTCCATATGAAACGCCAGCTTCATGGCAGCTTCATCGCTCCGCCGCTGCTGACCCTCCAGCTGCTTAACCACTTGGTCCAGCACGGCATCGGTGCTGACGCCCTGTGACGTCATTAGAGGGGTGTTGGGCGGTGGCAGCAGATGGGCATCAAGACGAGGGGAGGGGTGGGTTGGACGCGCTGGCTTTGGTGACGAGGCACACACGCAATGCAAGCAGTCGCGATGCGAGTAGTATGCAGTTCTGTCTGCAGGCAGCAGGGCCAAACCAACTGGGCGCAAAGCTAGGAGGGGGGACGCCCCAGGTTGATTGCAGATGTCTTTTCACCGACCCCGCACCTGAGTGTCAGTCGTGCCGTCCCGCCAGGCGGGACCCCACCACGACACTACCTGGGAGGACCAGCGGCAATGGCACCGCGCTTCAAGCCAAGCGGCAGCAAAGGGCGAAGGGTGACTGCTTTGCTGCTGTCGGCGCGCCCTGCGTCAACCCATGCGCGGCGCCGGCGCGCCCCAACCAGATCCCTAGCTACAACAAGCGGATGGCGCACTCAAGCGAAGGCGCCAGTATTTTCCACTGTGTCAGGGTGAAGAGAGCAGGGCAGCAAGTGGGGGTCGTGCGGCGTGGTGGTGGTGGTGGTGCGTCAACCCCTGGCGCGTCACCGCCCGCTCACGATGACGCCAACGCCGGCGTCAAGCAGCTCGTTCACGTGGTGGTTGATGACGTCAGGGTCCCGGGATGAGTAAGGGCCTGGACTTGCGGAGAGGGAGCGAATGGAGGGAGCGGTGAGAGGAGGGGAGGTGGCAGGGAGCGCGTTGCCATGGGTGCTGCACGCCGCAGTGAGTTGATTTGACAAGCAGGGGACTTGTGAGGGTGATGAAGCAGCTGGAAGCATGGATCAGGCTTGCAGGCGGCTTCAGATTTTGCGCAATTGGTAGCGCTCGTTTCTCCTCCCGCCTGGCCCCCCTCCGCCGCAAACGTGCGTTCCCCCCTAATACTCAGATGCACTGCTAACACGTCGCGCAGAGCGGGCCCTCACCCAGGCTGGGGTAGTATGGGGAGTGGATGCTGTCTGGCGGATGAAACTTCTGATCTGTTGAGAGGTGTGAGCAATGGAGGGAGCGCAGCGTCGAGGATGCAAGGCGAGGATCTATGGGACGGTGATCACTCCAGGTCGTGCTGCGGGCCCGAAACGTACCGGAAGATGTTGTGCGACAGCAGCAGGGCTGCTGCTGGGCATCGTTGCCGGGCAACAGCGCCCTGGCCTGCTCCTTTGCAACTACAGCCCCTCTGCACAGTGCGCAGCCGTGGCAGCTGGGCTGGGTCGGCCTCCGCCTCGCGCGCCGCCAGGAGAGCGTGGCCAGGACCGAGCCAGCCACTCCGCCCCGCCTCTGGCAGCCGTCACAGGCGGCTGCAGCCGCAGGGCCCATCGCAGGGGAGCCTAGCCTCCGCCCAGGCAGCTCGAAGCACCCCCGCCCGCGCGCTCCGGCCCCAAGGAGCGCCGCCGCGCAGCAGCCGCGCCAGCCTCAGCGCGCCCAGGCGGCCGCCTTGGGAACCCCCCTTCGTATCGCGGGCCGCCGCACCCGTCGGGTAGCTGGCCCGCAGCTTCTCGTCCCAGTGTGGCAGAATTTCGTGGTCCCAGTGGCGGTAGCGGCCGTCTGTCTTGGGGTCGCCGTACCACAGATAGTAAAATGCATGCACACTCTCCTCTGGTGCAAACTGGGTCCGGGGATCGCGGTTGCATGGTGCGTGCGCATGAATTTAAGATGGAGACGTGCACATGCAAGTGTGTTGCAAAGGGGCGTGCGACAGGGCGCTAGCAAGCGGCGAGTGCTGACTTTCGTGCGCACGATTGTGTTTGCGATGGTTGCCACGCAACGAGGGACACAGGGAGCATGCGGCAGGGGTTTCTGCCGGTGCCAAGGCACGCCCCCGAATTCGCGAGGGGCGCAGGTGCGGAGCGGCAATCCTCAGGCGGCGCACTTGGAGGGGCGCGTTGGCGTCAGCCACGCGGCCCTCAGCAGTCGCGGTCGATTCGACGGGAAGCGCCGCGAGCGCGGCCAGCACAAACGCTGCTGCACACCACAGCTGGGCCTGCGTGGCACGGCTACCAGCCATACTTATTTTTGATATGTGAATGCTTCTACCGCGACAACATTACAGTGCTAAACCTACGGTAGCAGAAAGGCAGCGAGATCAACGTTCAAATGACTGCGCGAAGGCGGGTCTGGCACATACCAAGAGAAAGAACCGTACATTGACTCTGACGTCAACTTATCTTGAATACAAAAGAGGATGCCGCATTCCCGACGCTGCGTGCGTCGCTCTAGTGACACTGTCAGCCCGAGCAGCGGTGCGTGTGCGTGTCGACTCTGGATCCAAAAACATGCTGCACAATGTTGAGGGCACGCTGTCAAAAGGTGAGGAACAGTGAACATGAACAGGGCTGCCGGGAGCGCCGGCTGCTCGCCGGGAGCGCCGCCTGCTTGTGGGGTGTTGAGCCTTTGCTCGCCGGGCGGTTTCAAGCCCAGAGGAGAACGCGAGAATAGTTGTGTGCAGTGACACCCGAGCGGGCCCCTTGTTGGCCTGTCACCCGTGATGCAAGGCATTTACTGGAACCTACCTGTCATTTGCATTATATATCAATGTGGTGACTGAGGTGAGAGTGCTGTACTGAAGGTGCAATTCCTGTTCTTCGGGAGTTGAGGATCCTGACGGACCTAATTCCCATCAGCCTACGGGGCATGTGGTGCATGCCACCCTGCAAGCCCTGCTACCCATGCAGCAAGGGACAGGAACTGATTAACAAGCAAGCATCTATGCTGGGTAAAGCCACAGTTGCAGTCAATCGACGACCTAATGTTGCCTTGTTGAATGGCTGACACGTGACCGTGCAGCACAGCCCAGGACCCAGGTCTGCGCAGGCCTACCACGGGGGCTGCATTCAAGGACTGACGTACCAGCTGCAGACGGGTCGGGGGGAGGGCAAACCACTCTGAATGAGCAATACAGCACGCCCACTGTGCTGTTGTGCCGTTCGCTTGTTTGATGAGCGGGACGGGCTCACCCTGAGCTCGTTTCGGATCAGGTGTGGGCAGGAACACAAAAGCCAACGTGGCATGGAAGCTCTGCTGTCGCAGCACATGCTCCAACTGCAAAAGCGCCGATTCCAGCCAGGTGGTGGCAATGCAATCCGTAATTGGTTGCAGAACAAAGTTGACTATGCTGATACGCGGTGTTGCTGTTCACAGCACGGGGCGGCTCTGCAGCAGTCTTGAGCATGGCTAGCCTCCTGGGATAAATTCTTTCCATGTGGCCGCAAGCTGCGCAACTCACACAGCGACTTGAAAGTGCAGTGCTCGGCAGCAGCGTTCTTGCGGAATCCTACCAATGGCCCCCCTTAGTGACCCGGTGCAAGTAAGGCCCTGGGGTTCTGCGAACCGCGTAGGGGGCGGCAACCACGCAGCTTCACCTTGTTTCAGGCCATGTAAGGAACAACGCTTCAAGGTGCCCAGTTTAGGGGCCTGTTGTCTCGTGTGCCGTCCCACCACCTTGTACTTGTATTATGCTCTGCAAAGCGAATCACCCGTGGTCTTGCGCTGTGTAGGGCGGGACACTGTCAGGCCCTCTTCAAGCGCTACAGCCATTTCTGGAGCAACGCGCATGTTACACTGACGTTCGCAGGCCAACAGCATCAGCCGCGGGCCTGTAGCTGCCCAGAAGATCTCTGCAAACAAAATCACTCAGAAGCATGCACCAATAGTACGGGCAAAGGTGGACCATGAAAGCAAACGCGTGACAACGCAACACAGTGCAAAGCGTATGAGGGGAAGCATCAAGCTGGGGCGCAGAACCGCAACGCGTGTGCGCGCAGCCATGGGCTGCGCGCCAGCCATTGCGCGCGGGTCTGACAATGGGCCTCTTTACTTCTGGAACCAGAGGGTTGCGGTCTTGGCGCGCTGAATCTTTTTCTGTGATGGAAAGCAAAGAGACGCGGAGGGTGAGGGCGTCAGCAGGGTTGAGCGAGTGCGCTATGACTACAAAGCTGGGCCAAAGCAAAGATGAGGGGCGCAAACATATGACTGGGAGTCAGCGCTGGCTTTGCACCCATGTTCACCCTATGCGCAAGACTGTGAGGACGGGCACGCCGCTCGCGTGCCAAACGCGGCTGCCTTGCCGAGCCCCACCAACCCCAAAAACAGGCGCCGCACCTGCAGCTGCAGCAGGCCGTAGAGCAGCCCCTCAGCGGTGGGCGGGCAGCCCGGCACGTAGATGTCCACGGGCACCACGCGGTCGCAACCGCGCACGACCGCGTAGGAGTAGTGGTAGTAGCCGCCCCCGTTGGCGCAGCTGCCCATGCTGATGACCCAGCGGGGGTCGGGCATCTGGTCGTACACCTTGCGCAGCGCGGGGGCCATCTTGTTGGTCAGCGTGCCGGCGACGATCATGACGTCAGACTGGCGCGGGCTGGGGCGGAAGATGATGCCAAACCTGGGGGACAGGGTTGGGGCGAGAGACAGGGTGAGGGTAGAGCGACCACGGCGCTGACAAATGCCGGGACGGGCGAAGGCTGCGGGAGGCAGGCCGTCAAGGACATTGCAGCGGGGGCTCTGCCGACCACATGCAGTGTGTGTGTGTGTGTGTGTGTGTGTATGCAAGTGGCGCGCGCCGCTTGACAAGCGGCGATGTGTACACCCCAGTGCACAGCTGCTGTTGCCAGGCGACCAGACCCTGTTGGCATCGCGCAAGAGACTGGCGGTTTGGTCATGCGCGGCGCCGCTGCGCATGACGTCTTCCGACCGCCACACAAGCGCGCATGACTGCCGCGCTCACAAGCATGCCAGCTCGCATCTGCCGGGCCATGCGCCTGCATGGTGAGCACCCTCCTGCACGCACCTGTCCAGGTCGTAGCGCGCGGCGCCGGCGTGCATCATCTCCACCGCGCAGCACGCCAGGCCAAACGTCATCGGCCACAGCGAGCCGATGCGCGCCCAGTTCATGACGGCGTCCACCTTTGACACGACATACTCGAGGTTCTTGGGCGTTGTGCGCGCCAGAGTGTTGGCCGCGGCGGACGCCATCGCTGCCGTCTGTGCTGCTGCTGGCAGCGGCAAGGGTAGATGCCTGGGCCTGTCGGCGGCCTGCGCGCGGGTGTACGGTGCGCGGTGGGCGACCAAACATATCACAGTTGCAAGGCGGTATCCCAGGCCGATGCGCATGTAGTGCGCCTGCTTTGCTCCAGCCGTGGCCGGGACTGCTGCTGCTGCTGCTGCTGCTTCTGAGATGGCGCCCCGCGGTGCAACGGCACCAGGCACGCAAAAGAAGAGATACGCATGGAAATGTAGAGGACGTTCTGCGTCGAGGCTGGCGTGAAGGCGCCCGTAAGCAGGGCTTGCTTTGAGCACGAGATCGGGACTCACCTAGTGCCTCGCACGCCTGGTAATTACAGCCAAAGTGCTGCTCGCGCGCGAATTAGCCTCACAAGCCGCTCGCAGCCTCCCTCCTGGACGGATCGCAAGCTGTAAGCTGATCGGCTTTACTGAAAATTGATTGCAAAGTGGTTTATTAGGTATAGGAATACACAAACGCTACGGTGGGGCAGCCTAATCGCCTGTGGCAACGCCCGCGTTGTGCAGAAGTCGCCGCCGTCTGCCGGTGCCCGTGCTGCGCGCGTTTTGACGTCGCACCTGCCGAATTCAAAAGAGATACAGCGCGATGGACAGGGTACAGCTCTACTGCCATTTGCGACAAGGGATGCGGTAAGATGGGGCCGTTTGAGAAACACATGCACAATGCACAACTTTGAAACCAGACAAGTGACAGAACCCTGCAGTCATCTCGAAACCTGTGTGGTGATGCAGCGGCATGGTGCTCAAAAGAGGACATTGGACGCACAATTTCTGCATATTGTGGTGTCCAAGCAACATGTGGGGCCATACTGTGCAGCACACTAAATGGCCGCAGGACGCCTCGAGCTTGTGCAAGAGGGCGCGTTGAAACAGCAATCGCATCAATGCATGTGCGGCTGGGTTGGCTGGCTAACGCGCTTTGTGCAGACCGTGGAGCTGAAGGCAATACAAGCAAGCTCTTGCAGCATGTGTGCGATCACATAGCGCAAGTGCTCCATGCCTGGCAAATACATGCCTTCAAAGTTGGTGCCTTACAAAATTGTATGTGTGTGCGCGTGCGCGCGCACGTGTGCGTGTGCGCATGCGCGTATGCTACCCTGAGCAGCTGCGGTCTGCACCCCGCCTGCTGGAAGCTGCCATGGAGCTGGTGGGGCGGATGATGGATGGTACTGCCTTTGAAGAGATAAAACGGCTGATGCGGGATGCAGGGTGTGCGATAGCACGGGTGAGCAATGATTGGGTGTGTGTGTGTGTGTGTGTGCGTGCGTGCGTGCGTGCGTGCGTGCGTGCGTGCGTGTGTGTGTGTGTGTGTGTGTGTGTGTGTGTGTGTGTGTGTGTGTGTGTGTGTGTGCGCGCGCGCGCATATGTGTGTGTGCGTGCGCGCGCATGCGAGCGCATGCACGCGTATGAGTGCGCATGTCAATGCATACGCCAATGCAGGACGTGGACCGGCATGTGCAGCAGAAAAATTGCAGCACGCGCTTTCACCAAAGCCAAATGAATGCAAAGACTGTTGTTGCCCAGCCTGGATGCGTTTTGGGGGGCCATCGTCCCCAAAGGCCTGAATTGAGGACTGGCAGCTACTGCCTTGAAATTAGCCTGTGGTCCCCTTCACACCAAAGATCTGTCTGCCAACCTCACCAATCATCACAATGGGGACGAACCAGCCCCCACACAGCCCCGCACCAGTCCCTGCTGCTTCACAGGTTGCACAGCCATTGGATTGGTTGATGTATGTGCAGGCAATGTACTGACAAAAGCTGGCAGTACTAATATTCCATCTTTTCGTATGGAAAACGTTTGCTAATCATCTGTGACCCTTCGTGTGATGACAGCACTTTGTGGGGCAGAGTTACGCCCGCACTTTGTGCGCACGGACAGCCGGCCACCCTTCAACAAGGCAGCGCTACATGAATCTGCCGCGATTTCTACCTTGTATCAAACAGGCCTCGAACTCGTTTTGCACGAGATCTACAGTACACGAGCTCACCTCGAGTGTGACAGCGGCCACATTGCAGTACCTCGGGTCATCGAGCCGACAGCACAGCTACTGGATACAACCACTTGCTTATCGCTGCTATAGCCGGGCGGTAGCAGGGATCAACAGGGTGACTGCCCTCCGGAAGCCATGGCTTCAGCTCGCTACGCCTACGTCAAGGACTTGGGGGAGGGCAGTTTCGGCAAGGTGGTTCTGGCAACAGACCGGGAAACGGGCGAGCAAGTGGCGATCAAGAAGCTGGTGAGCGCCGCCCGGCAGGTGCCACCGTTGCAGCTTGGCCTTGCGCCGCGCCAGCGCTGCACGTACCGCTGCTGAGCATCGCCGCGACCCCGTTGCTGCCTGCAGACGCGTCAGTACCTGGACACGCGCCTGCTAGAGGCGGAGGTGGTCAACCACAGCAGCCTGTACCACCCACACGTGGGTTGCGCCAAATCACCTGGCATGCGGCGAGGGGCGGGGCGTGCGCGGGGCCTTCGCTGCCTGGTCGGTGCAATGCGGCACGCCCCGTGGGCTGCGAGGATTGAGGGGCTGCTCGCGAAGGAGTGAGCAACGCGCAGCGTCCTTACTACGGGGTGTACAGGCAAATGCGGGCCAGGCCTTGAGGCCACACTCTCTAGCCCTGCTGTCGAACCGGGCAGGTTATCCGCTTCAGAGAGGTTTTCCTGTCTCCCAACAACTTCAACATGTGAGCGTGCGGGGGCCAAGCCACAACCGCAGCGGCGTCGAACTTTGGCATCGCACAGGCCACTCCGGGTGTGCGCGTCGCAGCAATAGCCTGTGTAATTGACGCGGCGCCCCGTCCCCACGTCCCTTCATGCACGGTCGCCTCCAAACGCTGCACACCCTGCCCTGACACCTCCCCCCTGTCCGCCCCCAAAAACGACCTTGGGCACATGATGATGTCAGCGTGATGGACTATGCCAGCGGGGGCTCCCTCTTCAGCTACGTGCGCAGCAAGGGCCGCCTGAAGGAGCCCTTCGCGCGCTGGTGCTTCCAGCAGCTCGTGCTCGGAGTGGACTACTGCCACAAAAAGGCGCGGCGCTCAGCGCGGCGCGCATGCTTTGTCGGCTTCATGCACAGGAGGCGTAGGGGTCCCCGACGTCGGCCTCATCTCGGCCAGTGCCCTTGCACTGGCCGGGGCACGGCAGGGCTGCGGGCCGGTTTTGCAGGGCAGCACGCAGCAGGGTAGTCAAGGGCGCAGCTCACGGGGCAGAGCTTCAGTGCTGAGAAACGCGGCTCTTGGCGACGGTACGGCTGGCCGATCGGCCCCCGGCTGGGGCGACATCCCTTGAGTTGCGCGCACTTAATCAGCAAGCGCTATGTGCACTCAGGCCCCCAGCGTCCCTCTGAACCCGTCACCCTCTCACCCACCCACCGCCCCTGTACTGCCCATTTGCCCCATCAGGGTGTGGCCAACCGGGATCTGAAGCTCGAGAACACACTGCTGGACTGGCCGCACCCCAGCCTGTCGAAGCCGATAGTGAAGATCTGCGACTTTGGGTGCGAGGTTTACACTGCCTCGGACTGCCTTGGTCTAGGGGCTGCGGCGGCCGCTGATGGCTGCACGGCGCGGCCCTGCATGATTTGCGGTGGCCGTGCAAACGAAAATGCTAAAGCGCGGCGACGAGGGTAGACCAATGTGGATGCCCCTAACAAGTCATATGCCCTCCCCAACCCCGCTGGGTTTCGCCGCCCAACTGCTGGGCTCCTGCACCCCTCGCTCCCTCTCAGCAACTGCGCCGCGTCCTTGACTGGACATACGCCTGCCAATTGCCCTGGGGTGGTCGCCCTAGCCAACTGCATCCTGCGTTGCAGGGGGAACGAGTATTGATGCGATGTACCTCATCTGACCCTACCCGTCGGCGTCTCCCCCCCCCCCCTGCAGGTACTCCAAGCACGACTCGCGCTCGGCACGCACCCAGGCCGGCACATTTTGCTACATGGCGCCGGAGGTGCGGGGCGGGGGACGAGGGGGGGAGGCATCACGGAGTGCCAGTACGGTGTGGGTGGCGCACACGGCTGTGCCATGCGCCTGGGCCTGCGGCAGCGACAGCAGCAGCAGCAGCTCGAGCCGCAGCAGGGGTGTTGGCTGCTGCTGCCACAGCAGGGAAAGCAATAGATGCGACCTGAGGCGGCGCAACAGTGCGGCCTTTATGCATGGGGGTGGCCTGAGTGGCCAAGAAAAGCCAGCCAATTGTCGCAGCACCGGCGGAGGCAGCGCCGCCACATGGCCGCTGATCCCAATTCCCCAGCCGCTCGGTCGCAGGGCGCGGCGGAGGGCTTTCTGCGTGCTGTCCCCTGCCTCTGCCCTCTATTCAGCAGCAAATGCACCCCTCTTCCCCCCCTCTTTGGCCCCGTTCTCACATGCAATCTAACACCCCGGGTGTTCCGATGCCAAATCCTGCCGCGCAGGTGCTGCGCAACGCTAATCGGTCAAAGTACGACGCGAAAAAGGCCGACATCTGGTCCTGCGGCGTCGCCCTTTACGTCATGTTGGTCGGGCGGTGAGTCAGGGTGACGGGCCCCCAGGGTGTGGGGGTGACCGGTGAGCCATTGGGGCGACGCAGTGGCGCGGGCGGGAGGTTAGATAAGGGAGCGGGTGTAGCGCGCATGGCGTGCGTGGGCGGGGCGAGCGGGCGGGCGGCAGGGAGGCGCGCGGGCAAGATTTTCTGCCTGACACACGCAGCGACGGCCCCCCGTCTTGTAGGGGGCGCCACGTCGCCCTCCCGCTGCCTCCAGGGCCAAAAGCTCGCCCGCTCGGCCACGCACGCCAGCTAAGCGAGGCCCTGGCCCCACTGGGGCCAAGGGCGAATCTGACGGCAGTGGCACATCTGTGGGGTTCGCCCTCGACCCCAGGCCTGCCACCGCGACCCTACACCGCATTCCCTCACTGTGCGTCCCTCGCACCCCCTGCACCCCCGCACCTTCCCGGCAGCTACCCGTTCGGCGACCCCACCGACGGCCAGGTCCCCGCGGAGGCGCTGCAGGCCCTCATGCGCCGCATCGAGCACCGCGACTTTGACCTGCCGCCCGCCCTCGGCCTCAGCCCCCAGTGCGCGGCCCTGATGGGGAAGCTGCTCGAGCCGGACGCCGCCAGGCGGGCGTCGGTTGATGACGTCATGCAGGTCCGGAGGGCGGCTGGGAGAGGGGGTAAGGAGTGGGCGGTCGCATTGAGGGGAGGAAGGGGTGGGGGGAATGAGCAGGCGGGAAAGGCGGCGGGGCCTCGTAGCCCTGCACCCCGCAGCAGCTTCCCCGCGGTCCGCCTGCCTGCCTGGCCACCCCACTGCCCCTCTGCCCCCTCCCCCATCCTCGCCCCTCACCCCCTCAGCCCCTCATACCACATCGTCCACCCCCCCACATCCTTCACCCCTCACTCTTGTCCACTCTATGGCCAGCCAACCCCCGTCCACTCCCC